GAGGAAAAGAAAATCCAGACGTCGTTGGATCAGGTAATTCTGAAAATGGAGATATAAAAAACATTTTGCAAACGGGGATAAATGTGGTGCTAAAGGTATTCAACTTTGACATGATGTCTTCGCCTATCCGAATGGAGGGTGATGTCTGCAGTTGTTGTTGTATTTCCTGATCACTGTGGAAATAGTAGATTCCAGTATTCGTAGAAAATACTGGTCTTACGTAAATAACCTACAAAGTAGATGTGTTAAATGGTCCCTCTAAGCGACTAGAAGCACCGTGTAATTCCGGTATCAGTAATGTTAAGCACTATTTTCAGTGAATTTTGAACCGCTGCTATTTTTGGTATTTATCCCAGAAAATCAGGGTTATATGTTATCTATATACCTGCCTATGGATAGTGACAAATTTTGTTCGTGCGCGAAAATGCCCTTGTGCAGCTGACTCAAAGATGCAGTCTTGCATCTGATGCGCTGTTAGTGCTCAAATGCCATATGGTAGTGACTTGCTTAAGTGGCTCTCGTATGTGACTAGAAGAAGGGGCGGTGCATTTTTTCCGTGTAAATCCGGTGTCAGTTACTGAAATGTGCAATAGCTGTCTCTTTCGAGGGCTCTTGAGGTCGAGAGGCTCGACCAGGTTCGCAGCAAGGCAATGCGGCACATTCGTTGTTACGTTATTTTTGCAAAGACGAGAAATTTCACAATTGTTGAACCTTGCTAATTATTATAGCGCATCGCCGTCGGTGCAAATTAATTTAGAACCATCTCATGGAGCTCCGTGTCTGATCAGAGTTTGCGATGGCATTTCAAGCTCAGGGTTCAGATTTATTTGCTAGATATTAAGTGTCCTAGATGAGTGATGTCCTCCGACTTTGCCGGGTCTACCTAAAACATCCTGTAATAAAATTTGCTCGATTGATGAAAGACCGTGACCACTGAAGAAATATCCAGAATCATCTGCTTGTACAGCTTAAAAACTCTTGTGGTCTGTGAAAGTGAATGAATAGTCCTCGAAAGTTCCGGCATACTAAACATTCTCCAGTGATATGACAATTAGAACTGTTTCAAAAGCACAATTATGCCACTTTGCAAGGAAGTTATAAGAAGCGTACATTTCGGTGTATAATTTTTTGGCACGTATTGCTTTGATGGTTTACAATTGACAATGCTTTCTTCACCTTCATGCTTCATTTGATTAGTGCCAGCCCGGATCTGTCGTTAGGAGCTGTTGCACTTGGTTGACCAGGGTTCATGAGGTTTGAGTTTAGCGCCGTGCTCTCCTCGGCGTCCAAGTTTCGCAAGTTAACCAGCAGTTTCGCGAAGCATGATACACTTTAGAAGAGAGTCAACAAATCGAGAAAGAGGCTGCATTTCAGTGTACATTGCCATGCTGTGGCACCCTGCCGAACAAGCATTACACGAACCGACTACACAGCAAATCGAACCTTATTATCATTTATTTTTCTGACCTGCTTCTTATTTGACTATTTGATTCGTACTTTGGTGGTCATACCGAAAACTGCACTAAACACGGTTTGTTCAGGCACAACGCCAAAAGTTTTATCAATCTGATGATTTACCAGTTCCGACGTTTCGACTCTAGTGTCACGAGCTTTCTTCAACGTATAGATGTGAATAAGACTCAGAGCCATCTCTGTCATCTGAGCCTGTTCATACATTCGGTGCCAGATGATCCTTCCAGCCTACTTTCATTAAGAATACTTAACGATTACCGATTCAACTCTTCTTCACTGTTGTGTGATGCTTAACATCGGTTAAACCATTTTGAATCCCACAATACGGCCATTTCGTGAATTTCAATTTGGTGTGTTTTCAGACCAGAGACGTGGTTGAGGTCACCATCACCGCTGGATGTTATTCCTCAACCGCCGATTCAGCGACCTTCAGATCAGCAGTATCAGTCTTCTCCAATACCGCCTAAGGAAGCGAAGGCGAATACGGTGAAAACAACTCGGCAGGCGTCGAAATTTCCGGGTAATATTCGTTTATATAAATTTATAACTTTACTTATAACCTGTAATAGATCTGGCAAACCCAGAGGTGGTTCCGGCAACGAAGCAAAACAGCCGGAAAGAGCTTGAAGCGGAGTTCAAAATGACCATGGGTCAGATCAAGGAGATTAATCAGGAAATATGCGACTTACGTCAAAAACACGAGGAGGAGTTGTTGATCGTA